TGAACTACTTTGAATATTTTATGTGAAAACAATATACATTTGTAGATTCAACATGATTGTAATATGTTAATGTAACTTCTTCACAACTAACTGAATCAAAATGTTTGTATTGTGTTAGTCTAATCAAATTTATTCTTATCCACTCAATGTCAGTAAAGCACTTCAATTCAACAAGATTCTGCCTTGTTACATAAACTAGTTAATGTCTTGGTTTGGTAGTTGATTGAGCATTAATGAAGACACCTGATGTTAACAAGCAGAATCACTGAAGGAGAAAACCATCATTTTTAAGTCACCGTTATGGAGATCCGTGTTTGCTTTAGTTGGGCTCTTGACCCTTATATCATTAACTTCATATTTTAATTTACTGTTGTATCTGAGTTATACCTGTCAGATGAACAAAGATAAAAAATTATAAAATGATGTTGGCCATATAATGACATTCATCGTTTGAAATTTATGTTTGTGATTTATTCTGTTGGTTAGTGTATAACTGAGATTCTGCATAAATGTCCAGAATGTTAAATATAATATAATGGATTTCTCAAAAAAGTTGTTTTAAAAAAACTTTCTTTTAGGCACACACAGACCTCAAGATTCAGTTAATGCTTCTCAACAACGGTGACGAGTAGAATATTCAAGTACCATACCATACCATCTTCTTCCGCTCATCCGGGGCCGGGTCGAGGGGGCAGCAGTCTAAGCAGAGATGCCCAGACTTCCCTCTCCCTAGACACTTCCTCCAGCTCTTCTGGGGGGATACCGAGGCGTTCCCAGGCCAGCCAGGAGACATAGTCTCTCCAGCGTGTCCTAGGTCTTCCACGGGGCCTCCGCCCAGTGGGACGTGCCCGGAACACCTCCCCAGGAAGGTGAAATATTCAAGTAGGAAAAGTAAATTACATAGACAATTCAGATCATAATTTATTCATACCGCAATGCATGATGGGAGCCATTAATGAGTTGTGATTGGTGGCAAAAAGGATTATTAATGTCACCATGGTTGAGATAGACAGGCTGATTATTGATCTCTGTGTTTATAAATAAAAATTATAGTGATTTGATCAGAATATTTTTTATTAAATATTTTAGGTTATAAGGAAAATACAGATATGCAGTAGAACCACAAAACTGTTGCTAACAAGTTTGATCAAATCATCTGAATAAGTTTCATTTTTTAGATCACAGCATGATTATGTAAAAACATAACCAACACGATCAGACCACAGTTTTCTTTGTTCATTTGACTGTTATAAATCAATAACAGCGGTCAAACAAAGTTAAAGTGAAAGTATAAGTGTCAAGAGTCCAACTAAAGCAAACACTGATCTCCATAACGGTGACTTACAATTTTAGATTTTCTCCTTCTGTGATTCTGCTTGTGATCATCAGGTGTCTTCAATAATGCTCAATCATCACTAAATTAATCACTTAATCATCGCATTAAAGCTACAATACCTACGATTTAGATACCGCTAGAGGGCACTACATTCAAAACAACAACAACAGCTTTGCTTGATGACGACGTGGAGGAACGCGGAATGATGGGAACTGTTGTTTTCAACTCCACCGTGGATAAATCAGTCCGACGGGAATCGAAATTTAGTTGTCATGGATGAGGTAAAGTTCGATTTCTATAAACGTTGCGTTTAATGACATGCTTGTTTTCATTAAACTGAAATAACCGCAAGAAAAGTCAGGTTTAAAAGTAAATTAGTTATCACAGATGTTACTGTACGAGTCACTAGACGAAGCTATGGTGGAGAGGGTTTGAAGGGGCAGGTCTCTTGCAAGGAGTTGACGTGGCTGGTCCTCCTTGGTAACTTTATAAAAATAAAAAATCAATGTAAATGTACATTTGACACATCTTTTCATGTCGTGTAAGTATTCAAACACAGCTACAGTTTCACAAAATTAACGTTAAGGGGGTCGCACACCGGACGAGAAGCTGCAGCGCTGCGTCGCGCCACATCTTTAAAATTCGAACACATTATTATATATAAGTGCACACATACCTCACATACCAACGTCTCAGGACCGTGTTCAAAATCCTGCTGCGCCACAGAGCGCCATTTACATAGTTTTATATAAAATTTTAATTAGTTTTGTCTCAAATCGTTGCTAATGGATCCTGACTTCGCCCTATGCTGCAATATGCATTTTTTGCATTCATTTACAGAAATCAGCTGCTTGAATGACAATTGCTGATGTTATTATTAGATTTTTCAGGTGAGATTCTCAATTCATTCAGTGAACGGATGCTCTGAGGTAAAGTTTTCAGAATGCAGACTCAGCAACGATTGTATTTAATTGTACAGTACAATCATAACATAGAACAGAAATTATCTTAATTTCCTGTCATTAAACATAACAATATTGCTGGCCATACACTGATGAGAAAGTGCGCGTCCGGTCTGCGATACTGTGGAGTTGTCCTAAACGTGGCGCGGCGCTTCTCGTCCGGTGTGCGACCCCCTTTACAGCCAACAGTTCACATTCCGAGAATAAATGAAAAGAATAATTGTGCTCCATTCCATAACAGACGCGCGAAACAAGCTGACGTTTGTTGCTTGATAGACGCTAACGCACAACTACAACTACCGCATTTGTCCAGGACTACACGTAGTACGAGCGGAAACCGAGGTAAGCGGATATGATGCGATTGACTCGTGACTCCCAGCTCACCCCTGCTCACACGCCCTGTTTCCTTGGTTAAAATCTCAATTTTCTCGCGATTTAAACATTGTTTGAAACATTTGGAATATTGTGAGTTATCATCTTAACTAAATATATAACACTGGCCTTGTGATTTTGGGATATTTTAATGCAAAAATCTTAGGTATTCCACCTTTAACTATTTTCAGGCGTTGCGTTTTAACATTACGCATGCTGCACTCATGGTACGACAGGGAAGTTTCCTGATTATTACGCAGGAATGAGAGTATAGTTCCTAGTCATATCAGCCTAGAAAATCGCAACTTTACATTTTCCGTCTGTCTAAGTGCACGATGTAACTATAGAAGAGTCAAGTTTTAAATAGGAACAATATCGAAACACTTTGGTCATTTTTTTGAGAAAAATGCTACTGGTCTTGTGCACTTCAGTGATGTATGCTAAGCTATGCTAAAAGTGGTGCCGCCAGAACCGGAGATCGGCTGAATGGATTCAAAAAAGGTAAAACTCAACAGTTTAACTCTAGGGGAGTTGTAAAATGAGCGTATTTCCACAAAAAGTGGAGTATCCCTTTAAGTGCCCCATTGACATGACAGTCATCAGCACTGATCCTCTACAACTCGTCTCCATACTGCTGACTTCCAAACAGATGGCAACGGACAAATACTCTAAATGTTTCAATCCAATCTGACTTGTAATGCTGCCCGAGTCACACACTGTTCTTTCGTTGGCCAGAGGAGAACTGGCCCCTGACTGAACCTGGTTTCTCCCAAGGTTTTGTTCTCCACTCTGTCACCTGATGCGAGTTTTGGTTCCTTGCCACAGTCGCCTTGGCATTTGGCATGCTTAGTTGGGGACATTTAATATTCAACAATATTACTGATCTGTGTTGTATTATTTTCATGTTATCACTGTGAAGCTTCTTTGATTCAATCTGTATTGTAAAAAGCGCTATATAAATAAAGGTAACTTGACTTGACTTTAAATTTACACATTAATTGGTTGTGGTGGTTAACCTGCAATTTACACAGCTCCGATGTATAGTTCAAAATAACTTTTCTGGTAACAAGCTACTGTTTCCAATGATTAGTGGTGTAGCGCAAAGATCACTGTTTTTAATGTCACATTAAAATACTAATAATTCTTAATAATAATAAAAATAAATAATACTTTACTGCAGAGTGAGTGGAGGTTAATAACTGTCAGCTCTGTCATCTATGTAGGCTGGCGCTGGTCAAATTAATTCTGTCTTCCTTCTCTCATACGATGTAAAGTCATTTCAGTGAATCAGTCAGTCCTAAATGTCTCTTTCTTTCTAATAAACAGAATTAAAAAGGCTGATTCATATAGTATAAATGTATCTTTAAGTTTGATGTTGTCAACCTCATTGATATTGTTCATTCAAAAAACAATACTGATATAATAATAAATTATAATATAATAGAAGCATTGAAGTCCACTCTATTGCACCAAGATCCACCCACTTGGAGATTTCTGGTCTCGCCACTGAAACCTTATGACACTTTCACTTCACTTGTGTTTATATTCATAGTCACGGTCATTGTGGCCCTATTTATGCATTTGATAGACACTTTTATCCAAAGCAGCTTACACTGATTTCAAGGTTAACTGATTAACACGTTCCCTTGGAATCGACCATGACTTTAGCAACGGCATGCTCAACTGTACTTGCACAAAAACTACAAACTGGAGTAAACAAGGCAGAATAGGTGAGGAAAATGATCCAGAATAGACAGAAATGGAAGGATCTAGAAATTAGACTAAAACAAGAATGATTGGCAAGGAAAAACAAAACCAAAGAGATAGGAGCATAATACAACCAGGGGACAAAGACAGTACTATCAGGACTGACAGAATCATAAGAGTTTCTGGTAACACTTTATTTTAGGGTGTCATTGTTACATTATGTTCCATGTAGTAATAACAGTAAATGATGCATAATTACATGCAACTAACGCTCAACCAAACCCTAATCCTACCCTAACCCTAAAGGTAAGTACATGTTATTAATTAACATGACTCAGTACTTAAATGAATAATTACACTGTAACAATGACACCCTAAAATAAAGTGTAACTAAGTTTCGTTATTGATATTAAAGTAATTTCATGATATCCAAGAGCAAAAACTTTGAGTTCATGCGTGTTAATGATGCAGCTGACTGTGGCACACTTGGACACTTACCATTTGGAAAGAAGGTTCTGGATCAACAGAGCAGTAATGTCCAATTACAGTTTCTCTTCAGGAAAAACCAAAATGGAAAACATTTAGTTTCTGTTTCAATGGTTTTCTTTTTGCATGTATTGCAGGTCTCTGCTGGCAGGCAAAAGCAGCGGGGAGGGACGGTCCCGGCGGAGAGAAGGCAGTTCTGTAGCTGGCCGTGTAAGTGTGGTGTTCGGCAGCCATGCGCCCCTGGTGTCAGCTCCATCTTGGACGGCTGCGGCTGCTGCAAAACCTGTGCACGGCAGATTGGGGAATCATGCAACGAGAGGGACGTCTGTGACCCTCACAAGAGCATGTACTGTGACTTTTCCAAAGACCAGCCACGTTATGAGGTTGGCATCTGTGCTTGTGAGTGAACGTTTTATGGAAAACCCTGTTTGGTTATTACAACATCACAGAATCTCTAAACTTACTTGTTAAATGTAAATGTTTTCAGAGAATAAAGCTGCGTAATACAGAGCCCCACACATGATATTCGGGGAAAAAATACTATGGCCTTGAATTAAGAATTCATTCCCCTGACTAAGGGACCACATTCCGTTGATTTGTAAATCCTGGCGAAGGAATAGTTAATATTTACTATAAAAAAACATAATTAAAATTTACTCACCCCCATGTTATCCAAGATGTTGGTCTTTCTTCAGTCAAAAAGAAATGAAGGTTTTCGAGGAAAACATTTCAGGATTTTTCTCCATATAGTGGACTTCCAACGGGTTGAAGGTCCAAATAGCAGTTTCAGTGCAGCTTCAAAGGCTCTGCACGATCTCAATTGAGGAATAAGGGTCTTATCTAGCCAAACATCAGCCATTTTCCAAAAAAAACGTATATATATATATTACACTTTTTAAGCACAAAGAGCTGTGATGTGCCACCCATTACATAATCACGTTGAAAGGTCAAGCGTGATGTAGGCGGAAGTACAAACCTAGTGTTAACAAAACAAACATGCAAAGATAGTCAAATGCCATTTACTAAATAAATAAGTAAAAGGTAAAACAATGATGTCGGATGATTTTGAAGTTGAAGGAGAAAATGAGATGGAGTTTTTCGTCCTATATTTTCCGGCGACGTCACGCGTGACCTGTCCATCGTGATTACATGATGTGTGAACTCGTGGACATGCAAGCCAAGCATTTGTGGTTAAAAATTATTTTTATTTTGTTAGAAAATAACCCTTATTCCTCGCCTGGGATTGTGTAGATCCTTTAAAGCTGCACTGAAACTGAAATTTGGACCTTCAAACTATTGTACCCCATTGGAATCCATTATATGGAGACAAATCCTGGAATGTTTTCCCTCAAAAACCTTACTTTCTTTTTGACTGAAGAAAGAAAGACACGAACATCTTGGATGACATGGGGGTGAGTAAATTATATGGAAATTTTAATTCTTAAGTGAACTGAACCTTTAATTCATTCCCATTTTTCATGGCCACAATTTATATAAAATGAGGGAACAAACTAAAACAAGGAATTACGTTTATAAGAATTAATTTTAGTAGACCTAAATTTGCTTTTTGTACTCCATAGTCTATCCTGTCAACATGACATCATGACTTTTGCGTAAACATACAAGCCACTTTCGAGTCAGGTGGTGTGTTATCTCTACGCATTTTGAGTTATCCGCGTGTATCCGCGTGTATGCGTTTATGTCTACGCCATTAACGTCCGCGTCATTCCGTGTGTCTGTACACGCAGTCAAATCTCCAGTCATAAATGCCATTAACCCCAGTGACGGTTAAGTTTAGGGATGGGGTTGAGGTAAGTCATATCTTTTTTTTACCTAGGATGATAAGGGAACAGTCATAAATGCCATTAACCCCAGTGACGGTTAGGTTTAGGGACGGGGTTGAGGTAAGTCATATATTTATATAACGTTAAGTCAACGGCGTTCATAAACACGCTGAAAGGCGATTATGCGTCTTGATAGCACGCCAAAAATGGAAATACGAATTGGCGTGGCATACACACGCTACTTCATGAGATCAGTCTGATCCTGTATATTTTTGCAGACATGATGGGGGTTGGTTGCGACCTGAATGGGGCTCACTACGATAACGGACAGGCTTTTCAGCCCAACCCTCTCTACAAATGCACTTGCATCGCTGGAGCCATCGGCTGTACCCCTGCCTTCATCCAAAAGCCGGCAGGAATGTTGAGTCCTGCTGTGCTCCAGGGAAACTTGCCAGCAGGACTCAAGAGTAATCAAAGCCCCAAACACCAACAGGACACCACCTACAGGACCATGTCAGGTAAATGTGACCCTGTGTGTGGAGATATTAAAGAAAAAAAAAAAAAAGAAAAAAAAAACATCTATTGGTTAATATTATTATTCACCACCCACACAGTTTACTACATGAGCAGAAAAAAAAGTTTTTAAAGGGGTGAAGAGGGTTATTACATTTTGATGAAAGGTTATGACAATAACACGACCCGAGATATTAAGACTTAAGATATTAAGAATTAAGATTAAATATCCTGCAATCTCTTCAGGCATATGCCTACAATCTCTAGACCTTAGTCTGTGGATCTAGAGAAA